ACAAATGTGTCCACTCTGATGCTCAATCTTACCGAACTAATGGCTGCTGATGACTATTTGAATTGAATTCTGCCAAAGTGCGCGTTTGAAAGTGTTCGTTGAATGCTTAACGTTAATTACGCGAGTACAGGTCTGCTCATGTCTGAAAATAATATATGAAAAACAAAATTATTTTACATAACAAAAACATTATAGCTTATATTTGTTTAGTACATTTTTTAATTAATGTAAAAACTAAAATGAATTGTAAAACTGAAAGTTATTTTTTAATTGTGTTCAGCATGGTGGGCCGCATTTGAATTCGTGATGGGTGGCATGCGGCCCACGGGTTGAGAACCACTGCCATTGATGATAATAAAAAGAAATGTTTCCTTAGCACCAAATCATCATTAGAATGATTTCTGAAGGATCACGTGACACTGAAGACTGGAGTAATGGCTGCTGAAAATTCTGCTCAACATATTACAATAGAAAACAGTTACTTTAAATTCTAATAATATTTCACCATATTACTGTTTTACTGTGTATTAGATCAAATAAAGGCAGTCTTGGTGAGCATGAAGAAGTTTCTTCAAAAACACCAACTAAAAAACAGCACCCAAACCTTTGCACCATAGTGTATATAATATTTGTGAAGACTGTTTTGTGTAACAGACATGTTCACTTCTCACCTTGGGGGATCTGAGTGGCAAGTGGTGAGGAGATGGTTACAAAATTGAGGTCTTTGCAGCCGTAGTGAACTGGCATTTGTCTGCCCTTGCCAAGGTCATCAGCGTTGGCATAGCACTGTGCCATAAACAGATCCAGAGGGAAGCCTCTGTACATCAATACACCTACGGAAATTCAGAAAAAAATACAATTATAATTGATCAAATATTACTTAATAAAAATCACATTTCAATCAAATATCAATAAATAAAAGTTATTTAATCAAATATTAATGCATAGATCTTTTTCTATCATACGAAATTTATTTAAAGGGGTCATATGATGCGATTTCAAGTTTTCCTTTCTCTTTGGAGTGTTACAAGCTGATTGCGCATAGATAAGATCCCTGAAGTTGCAAAGACTAAAGTCTCAAAAAAACACATACCAGCTTCATCACTGTGTCTGTCACGCGACTCTGTTCCCCTTTCGGGCTTGAACTGATGGTAAAACTAACGACATTATTAACTGTCTTGATATTTACTTTGAAAGTTGATGCTCGTGATTATGGTAAGGGGCGTTACATTTCCGACGCGTGCTTGCAGACTGCGCTTGTCGGAAGGCGGGACTTTGTAGAAAACGAAGCGTTTGAGAGAGGCGGGGCATAGAGGACCTACAATAATGTACAGTATTTGAAAAATAATGTGTTTTTTGAACATTAAAGCATGTCAACATATTCTGATACACCAAATACACAAAATAATGATCTTTAAAAAAGCATCATATGACCCCTTTAACAAACATTTTGTAGGAAATAAAGCATAGAGATTTTCATTGCAACCGAAGAAGAAAAAACTCTCAAGTGCTAGACCAAAGTCCATTTCATTTGACTAGTGTGATTTCATTTTCATTTGACTAGCTCTGTACCGCACCCTGGCCCATTTGAAGAGGTGAGCTTGGGCATAGGTGTGGAAAGCATATAGTGTGAGCACCAACCATGCTGGAGCACAGAACTTGAAACCCATGGCGTCGATTATGCAACTGTTCAATGTTCTATGTAGGGCTGTGCAATATATCGAAATTATCGAAATATCGCAAATATACATATCGCAATATGCATATCGCTACAGCTTGCAATATTTGGGGCCATAAACAAAGACAAAGAGAAAATCACTCACTGCTCTTAACTAAATAACTTTTGTAGCTTAAATAAGAATCAGTGCATATTGAATTCAAAGAGTAAATACTAAGCAGTGTTTTATTTTTCCTTTTTTATTATGCAGTTCCTAAACTCATGTTAAAATGACATTTTTATGTAATGCTCGAGTAAAACACATACCGTTCATTTTCAGAAGTTGTTGTAGGCTGTTTCATCTGAGCACGTGGCACTTTAAGCATTATCGTATCGCATATCGAATATCGCATTATTTAATGAGTTATAGCATATCGCATTTTTCTTCAATATCGCACAGCCCTAGTTCCATGTTAAGCAGCATATTACGCACATGTGAGGACCATGTGTCCTGCACCCCAAACGACTCAAAATAATAAGCCACAAAGTTAACATTACGATGGACTCCGTTGTGCTAAGTGAGAGTTCTTTTCTTCCCGTTTTCTTCAAAACAGTCACATCGTAATAATGTAAGTGTGCTCAGGCCCAGAATGTTAAAGCGCAATGTGAGTGGGAGGGGGGATGATTGTGCTTGAGCAAGATACAAGGCTAACGTGTCTAGTGTGTGTACGCCCTTATAGTAACAAAACTGGGAGAGCCACTATTGTATCTCCAGCTTGTACGCATTCTCACCAGCTTCTCGGTATTGACCGAAGACCAAATCAGTAGGTTCAAGAGCCGCAGCGCTTCCAATGTGTGTGCCCTCCTCACCATAATTGGTCATGTAGAAAGAGATACGGCCCTTGAACACAAAAGCATCTCAAATTGAAGCATTATAAATGCTCAGATGTCATTTAAATTTCATTTTAGATGGAATAAGCATTACAGTAAAATCCACTGCATCTCTCACCTGCCTCTGAGACTCATAAAGAATACGATCCATTGTGTTGAGTAATGTCATCTTCTGATAGAAATTCAAAACCGTCTCTTTTGAAAGCTGAAACAGACAAGTAATGCTGTGTTAAGTGCAAACTGATTAAGAAATCATCATTGGCATGTTTTTTTGTGAATACTATTTAGTAACCTGCTACTAGTATTTTCCACACATTATCTTTACCGTATGATACTATTAAAAGACTCCACACCTTAGGATCCTCAGACGGATTGATGATCTGGCCCTGTCTGTCCATCACCCTATACACAGGGATTCCTGAGATCACATTGGGCTGGATAAATTCCAGGTGATCAATAAACTCCGCCGAGGCCCCGGGAAACTGCGGCTTCTCTGCTGAAGAATCAAACGGCTCCTGGCGAAGAGCTCCCTGAAGACAAAGACAGAGGATCAGGGAGTAAAATACACAAGCAACAGAGCAGCAGTTCATGAGACCATGCATTTTGAGATCTGATCACATACTTTAAACGATCAGGCAAAAACTACTCAAATTCCCACACAAACCAGAGATAACCAGAGACTAAAATCATAAAAAACATTTCCGTCACCTGAAATAATAAAATGAAATAAAATAAAACATTTAAAAAATCAACTTATTTTATTTTGGCTAGTTGCCAAGGCAACATTTCTAATTTTCATTTTAACTGGATGTACTAAAATAACTAAAAGTGAAACAAATATTAATAAAACCTATAGACATACAGTATATTCAACAACAAAACAAATGACAAAACACAACAACATTACTAACTAAAACTTTAACTACATTTAAAATGAAAACTAAAAATTGAAAATCATAAATGAATTCAAAAAATGAAGTAAAAACTATAATAATAGTATCTCAATGATATTAAAAGAACACTGTTACACACATATGTTTTACACTAGGCTTCTAACAGCCAAATCCTGACCAGGAAGTTGTACTATCTGATGATCAGATCTTTTATTTTCCCTTTGTTCTGGTTTTGAGGTAATACGGGTCTGATGACTTTGATGCAGAAATAAAAACAAAAGGTAAGGAGAGAAAATGCAGATCCTTTAAAAAGTAGCACTAAAATAAATACAATAGAAGATTAAATATTAAGAAAAACTGTAAACTGTTCATATGAGATAATGCCTTGATACATAAATGTGCCTTGGAATTTGTTAGTGAGCAATGCACTTTGCCTGAAAACACAGATTAGCTCAGTAATGTTCAAACAACTGTAAATTAATGTATGTAAACTATGAATGTCAAAATATTTTTAAGTTCATGGTTTGCGTATTGATGCACATCTTTATATCAGCAGGTAGATTTAGGATCACAGAGAATCTTGATGCACCTGAGACACTATTTAATGTACACTTTCAATGTAAGATCATCCAATGCTGGGAAGAGAAAGAAAGAATATATTTCAATGACACGTGGCTGCAGGGATCAGCTTTGTGTTTCCCTCCACACACCCCCCTGAACCAGCCAATCGGCTCTCAGTGTAAATCTACATTGTGAAGGTTGAACAGTCCATTACCTACAACAATACACAGAGAGCTGACCAATAGTTATTAGATTAAAACAATTACTAGATGATTAGATTGCATGATCAGACAGACCGAACGCAACTATGTACCATTTCCAGGTCAGATGAGGAATACCTATACATAAGCATTAGAAATACTCAAAGACTTAACATTATTTTAAGACTAAGATCATGCGTTTTATTTTAAGGTGATTTACTATTGGCATACAATTCATACAATCCAAATTACACCAACGTTTTGAGGTTCGCGCAGCTAACGTTACAGTTTGTCTGATTAGCAACTTTTGCTAATGAGGAAATATGCAATTGTCATACACCTAAAACTTACATTTACGTGGAATGCTCTTTGCTGGAGAAACGTAGTTGCTTTTAACCTAGTATTTTGACGAATTGCGTGAAACCCAATCCCGTATAATTTCGTGACACCTCTAGCAGCCGCCATCTTTACTTCAAGTGCGTGTTTTGCGTCTGTTGTTATCGCCTCAATGACAGCCTGTGAAAATCCCATACAGTGCGCCCCCTGCTGGACAATGTCGCACAACACAAACATTCATCCCATTTTTTACGTTTATATCTAAGGAAATGTATAATTTTTAATTACATATCCAATTTTATTGAACATAAATTCCTCTGTATAACTACAATTTAGTTGCAGATGCATTTTGATTTAACCGGTCAAGGGTTTCTGGCAACGTGGTCATTGCGATCGTCTTACCGCTAGAGGGCGAACGTATGCCATGTCGTCATTATGGTGCGCTCAAAACAATGACGCTTATGAGCGCGACGCGAGGATTGTGCATGAGGACCATGATGGAGTTAGATCAAAGTTGCTCAGTTTTAAGAGAATATGGAAGTGAGCAGAGTTTGTTATCCAAACCTGACGGATCTTCCACTTTTGTTCAAGGTATTTATGCCAGTATGTAACTGATTTGTTTCTTTTGTTCAGCGCAAGTGGTTGCCTGTCAAGCTTATGTCCAGAAATCTATTTGATTCATTCATATCTGTATCGTTCTGAATTTGTAAATGTATTTTCAGGTGATACTAGTATCCTGGCTGGAGTTTATGGACCAGCTGAGGTTAAAGTCAGTAAGGAAATCTATGATCGAGCTACTGTAGAGGTTCTTATCCAGCCCAAAATGGGGCTTCCAGGTAACGTTATTAGAACTTCTTATATTAAAAACAATCAAGCCCTGCTTATATTTAAAAAGTAACGCAAAAGTAATATAACGCATTACTTTCCATAAAAAGTAACTAAGTAACGTAATTAGTTACTTTTTTAGGGAGTAACGCAATATTGTAATGCATTACTTTTAAAAGTAACTTTCCCCCAACACTGGTTATGTATTTTCTAAATCAATTTATAAATCAATTTCTTATGCTGTACATATTCATAATTAATTATATAAAAGTTTAATACAGCTTTTTAAATCTAGTTTTCCCCCATACATTAAAATGTGTCCTGTTTAATTTTATTTATTTATTTTTTCTGAGCAAAAATAATGACAATGACATATTTTACCATGATTTACAGAAGTGTAGCAATAGTTCATATACCAAAACATATTGTCAGGCATATTTAGAAGAAGAATCATTAGATGACATTAATAGACTCTATTTAAGGATTGCAGAACAGCCCCCAAAAACTGATTAACTGCGATGTTAAATCTTTATCAGTCTTTGCCACTATCCTTCAAACTATAGGTTTTACTCATTTGTCAGCAAGAAGTTTTAATAATTAAAAATATAATAATTTTGTATGATCACTTTTTCCTTTTATATATTTTAATATGTACAGTTCAGAATAAGAACGTTTTAATTTTTACGTAAATACATTATGCTGAATGATGATGGAACAACACCCATATTTTGATTTTATTTTCACAAAAGTTATTTTAAACGTTAAAGCAGGGGTGTGCGATATATATCTTCTATGATAATATCGTAATTGTTGTTTAAACAATATGCGATTTGACATTGAGTATATCGCAAAAACCAAACAAAAACACAGCGAGAGTGAGCGCGCGCGCGCGCACTACGTGATGTAGGTCAGACTACTGCGCGTGCGCATTTAGATATCACGTTTTCACTGCGTGATTTAGTCTATTAAAATACATTTAAAATTCCCCCAACATTCAAGATAAGGAGGCAAATATGCCCCCGTATGACTTGTGTCGTTTATATTTATATAATCTGATATAGTTAATATCACACGAATAGTGACGTTTTTCTCCAAATATCTGCACGGTTGCCAATGTGATATTGATTTGATGAACAGAGGCCCGTTTCAGAATGGAGGTTAAGTGAAAACTCTGAGTATGTTAACCCTGAAATGAGGGAAACTCTGGGTTTTCCGTTTCTCAATGGGAGGCTTGTCAAACCAGAGAAAGCAGGGTAAGTCAAACCCGTTTCTGAAAGAGAGGTAACTTATACTCAGAGTCAGTTACCATGGTAACTTACTCTGTGAACCTAACCTGGTCGGGAGCAGGTTTTCTTCGTTAAACCCAGAGTTTCTTTCGGTCTCCTCCCCCTTTATAAAGCGTAAGCGATGTTTAAATACCTCATTCATTAATTCACGCTGCAAAAAAAATGCATTTCTTAGTATTTTGGAGTCTAAATTAAGTGCATTTTACTTAAAACAAGAAAAATAATAGTAATGCAAATGGAAACAAGATTATCTTTCTTACCCCATAGGTAGATAATTTGCTAAATAAGAAAAATACACTTAAAAGACTAGGAAATACCTTATGTCATTTTTCTTATGTAGAAAATGCATTTTGAGTTAAGAATCTTTAGATATTTTGACTGGAAACAACTAGGCAGAAATACTAAGTAAGAAAATATTTTTTTTACAGTGCAGGTACATTCATTCATTACACATATTTTCATCATGCAGACACTGTGAAAGTGACAAAAACCTCTTATACTGAATCCTGTAGATGAGGAGGCTACATTAAATCATAGGGAGTTACATTTACATCGGGAGAGGATTATTTAGACTTTTTTTTGCCATATCCGCATGCATATTTATTTGAGCGGTACCATTTTTAAATGGTAGTTTTCTATATAACATCAGGGATTTAGAGCACATTAGTAAGGCCGCTGTATGCAGAGCGGTAAGGAAAGTGTCTCTCTCTCTCACGCTCTTTCTTATAATATTTGTGTAGTTTTCTGAACACAAACCCATCGAAAATTAAGCTGAGAACTGTATGAATTCGAAGGATGCCAGATGGAAGGGTAGTTTGAGATATATGCCGTAACCACCACCACAGCTGTTAAATTTATTTGGTCATCTTTATTTCCTACAAATACAAAAGCAACAGTTATTATTTTTCCTGTTGGATTTTAATATTCTTCCAATACTTGGTATTGTGGCCATCTCCTCTTCATCTGTTCTTCATTATTTTTGTGAGCCTTCTTGCTGTTGGCTGAGTAGATGTCAAATGTTCATTTCATTACTCTAATTAAGAAATGCAACAGTTTGGATTAGAGAACATTTAATTATGTG